TAAGCTAAATAATCACTTTATAACACTTGTAAAGGAGGTTTGAGTATTAAGATAATGACCTGGGCTCTAACTTCAGAGAAAAAACAATTTTCAGCATTGAATCTTTACATCGACCTATATATCTGTTGGCCCGTTTTCTTTACTCTTGCTCTTCCCCCTCCCCCCAAGACTAATCCCTCGTCTGCTGTACTGCCTTTCCAGAAATCTCCCCATCGCAGTCATCCACTTTCAGTGGTCTACAGGACCCTTCCTTTCAGTTCATACATACGGTAATCAAAGAACTTGCCCTCAACTCACTGCCAGCTAATTCTATTCTTCCCTTTTTATTCAAGACTTTATTTATTTATTATTTTTTCTCTTTTTGCCCAGATAGAGACAGAAAGAAAAAAGGGATAGAGAGAAAGCAAGCTGCCTGGTCCAGGACTCGAACCACAGTTGGTCATGTGGAAGCCCAGCACCCTAGCCACCATGCCACCTGTTGGCCTCTCTCCTTTCTTCACAGATAAACCAAAGCACTATCTACACCTACTATCGCTCCATCAATTCCTACAAATCAGTTCTCAATCTCCTACATTCTGGCTTCTTGCCTCCCTAGTCCACCAAAGCTACTCTTAACAATAAACAAGATGACATTATAATGTATTGTTCAAATGGGTTTTTGCCACTAAAAGGAAGATGAATAGTTTTCCCGGAATGATAAAAACAAGCACAGCCTGTGTGGCAACTTTATAAATATATCCACTTAGATGTTTTACATTTCACTCAACATGGAAACACTGAATCATCGATTTGAATGATAAGGACAGAACCTGTTCCTCTTCTTATTTTTAGTTTTCAATAGAGTGCATGTGCTCACCAGAGACAGACATGGAGAGAGGAAAAGTGAGAATTCACCCCCCCAGGGGGCATGGCCATGCTTCATTCCTTTCTTCTCCTGGGATCCCTGGTACTCACAGGTGTGTTTTTCAAACTGCTGTGTCCGGACTCTAAGCACATAGTTGGCCATGTGGGATCCTTTTTACCTTAACTAATACACTACCAGCTGGCCCTCCTCCTCATAGTATTAAATCCCACTATATCCATACCATTTCCTCAAGCCAGAAGGGTGGGAATCATCCCCAATTCACCTTTCCCCCTATTGGCTCCTATCCATTCCATAAAATTTCTAGCCTAGATCTATTATAAAGCATAACCCAGATCTATGTACGTCGCTCCTCCATCTGCTCCCTGCGTCCTTCTCCCCCAGCCATTGCATCCTGTTCAGTTTCTTCATTACAATTACACATTCCCTAGGTTACTTGTCACTGTCTGTCTTCTCTAGTTTATTGCCAAACTTAGAATCCTGAAGTTTGGTCAGGTACCAGTAGCTGGTAGCCGGCATAATTCTGCCACGTAGCAGAGGCTGGGTAAATATTTCTTGGATGTTTGCAGGATGGTAGCACAGAGGTAAAACTTGACCTTCTGTGAGGCTGACCCACCTGGGAAGATTCCATATTCACATATGGAGACCTTCCCGAGAACACCAGGACACACAGGCCTGTGATCTGGGGCTGGCAGAGGCTGGGGGAGGATCATGGCATTGAGACCCCATTGGGGGTGCTAGTTCTGTCTCTCTCTTTGTATCTCATTCATGGAAGAAATAAATACACTTAAAAATATATTTATTGGATGACTGATATTTGAAAAAACATATGGAAAAAATAAACAAACATCCCTGGGACCAGCAGATGGCATAATGGTTATATCCCTGGACTCCCACATAGTTGATGGAGGTTTGAATCCCTAACCTGGCTGCTTAAAACTCAGGCCAGGCGCATGGGCACGCATGCCCAAAATCCCAAGAGGAGAAGGGATGCACTGTAGCCATCCCCACTGGGGGTTGATTTCTCGCTCTCTGTCTCTCTGGCAAGTGCACACGCCCTATAGCAAAAACCTCTCAAAATAAACAAACAAAAAACAAAAAACCACCCTGCAGAATGCCTTTGGAAAACATGGATCTAAATAATGCGAAATTGAGAATACTATGTAGTTAGGCTGTATGTCTTAAGAAAACATCAGTATCTGAGTCGCTGAACAAAGACCAAACAACCAAATATGATCAGAATTAGTATCGGGAAAAGATAAGAATGATTGAGGAGTGGAAGAAAGTAGAGAGAACTGGTGAATTCAAAAAATTCCCTTTATTGAAGTCCTTCGATACCTGCTCTCTCTGGAACTCTATTTTAGTTCCCTATGCACCAGTGCAGAAAATTACACTAATAATCGGGTCAAGGTGATCTTTGAGGGTAAGGAGTAAGTACCATTCTGCTTAAGAGAAAGAGGGACATCCAGAAGGGTTATCACTGGCACTGCAGTCGAGTTTTGGTTTTGGTTTTGTTTTTTTCACTACAGTCAGGCTGTTACAGTAAATACCAAAGAAAGAGTTAGTCTCTATCAGGAGTGACACATTGGACAATCATCAAATAATATTTATTTAACTTTTTAAAAAGAATTATTCATTTTAATTTAACTTATTATTTTTTATTTGACCAGAAAGATACATAGAGAAGTGAAAAAGCAAGCCTCCAGATTCAGGACTCGAACCATGGTTGGCCATATGGGAATCCAGTGCCTTAACCACCATGACACCTGCTGGTCCCTTTATTTAACTTTTTAAGCAGTTACTTTTTCTTTAAAGAATTAGTTTATTTAACTATTATTTATTTATATTAATTTGGCCAGAGAGGGACAGAGTGAGAGAGAGAGAGAGAAGGAGAAAGCAAACCACCAGGTCTGGGACTTGCACCGCATTCTGCCATGTGGGAGTCCATCACCCTTAACCACCACGCCACCTGCTGGCTCCAGCAGTCACTTTGTAAAAATTAACCTTAAGACAAAAGTTAAATTAGAAGACATTCTCAGCTCAGTTATAACATCACTCATGTGACTCTCTTGGTAATAAACATTCTGAGCCCACTCTGGTCCCAACTTCCTAGTTTGGGGGCCTACATCCCTGAATTGCCTAGGCCTGTTGTCAAGATTGTGTTGTCCCCCCAGAATTGCACCCCTGTGCCTTTGCTGTTTGATAACATAAATAAGCACAAACCACGTCCGTGGTACTTGATAGTTACAAAACAACTCAAACAGGAGGGTATTCACTTCAAATACAGCATCTGAAAGTTGCATGTCCTGTCTTTAAAATTTGCAATGCCCGGTCACTGAGTCCAGGGGAGAGTACAACAGATCCCAGAAGTCTGAGTTGGTTTCCCTGTGTTGTAGAGAACAGTTCCCTCTAGGACAGACGTCACCCTTAGCCCCTCTTCCGGGACAGTGCCACGATACAATCACTTCACAAGTAGCAGTCCCATTATGGTCATGCCAGTCTGCCTGCATCCGCTACCGTAACTCCGGGTGGGAACAACAAAAACTCCAACTCCACTGGTTTCAATGATCAAGGAGGTTTATGAGCGCATGCATTTGGAAAGTCCAGAGGTAGGCAAGCTTTTAAGTAGAGTGCATTCTGAGGCCCCTCTCTGTGTGCTCCTTCCGGCTCTGCCTTTCTTCATGTGTTAACCCTATCCTCAAACCAGCTTCGCTCTTAGTCACGGGTGGCTAATAGCAACACTGCTTAGTTCATTCCCACTCAAGGGGAGAGACTCTTACTTCACTCAGCTGTTCATGAGTACTTTTCTCTGATTAAACCATCCCGGAACTGATCATGAGGGCAAGGGAGAGATGATTAGAACCAACCCTGGACGCAGGCAAGGTCACTCCAGCCACCTCTGCCACACAGAGGCAGCTGACTGCAGGAAGAGGCTGTGGTACAGGAGAGGCAGCGTCATGTACCTGTCTGGCCTCTGCACTGAAACCTCGACCCTGACCCTGTGGCCTATAGCCACAACAAAACAGTCTGAGAGACAGTGCTCTTGGTCTCTCTCTCTCTCTCTCTCCTTCCCTCCCTTCCTCTCTCCCTCGCCCCTGCTATCTTTACCTCCTGCTTTGTCAAAACTGTTGGTAGCGAAAGGGAAGCAGCGAAGAGTGTGAGGGAAGATAAGACATGGAAAACATACTGTGTCCTTCCTTTTGGTAGTAGAAGGACTCTGGGAAACGTGGAAGCTACTAAGCTGTGCTCAGAGCTAGTGCTCTAGACAAGCCGATATATGATGTCTGCGGTGATCGAGAAAAATTCTAGGGCCAGTCCTGTGGCACAGTGGTAAATGCTGTGTGGAAAGAGCCAGATCCCATAGGGCTGACTAAGGTTCAAATCCTGCCAGCCATGGTGGCTTGAAAAACACATGTGCTTGTACTCAAAACCCAGGCAGGATGGAGAAACGGAGGAAGGGGATTGAGTCATGGCGACGTTCTACTAGGGGGTCTGTTTGTTTCTCTCTCCCTCTCTCTCTCGCTCTCTCTCTCTGACAAGGGCATGTGTCCTCTGACTATTAAAAAAAAAGTTTAAAAACAATTCAACTTTGGGAAATTCTAGGAGAGAAAGCAAAATAGGTAAATTACCCAAGGATACTATTTAAGTCTGAATAACTCTCCTTCAAAACAAATACTACTGTTTGTGTTGGTCATGCACTCTTAGTAATTATAAGTAAAGGAATAATCTAAAAACACAGAAAGTTTTTTGCATAGTAACTATTCACAATAGCAGAGATTGAAAACCAGTTAGCTATCCACCAGGAAGTGAAGTGTTATGTACATTACGATACACCCTTCCAATGGAACACTAATCAACAATACGAACCAATAATTGTTCTGAAGCCTTTGTAATAATACAAAATAGTACTCAGGATTTACTAAGTGAAAAGGCCAGGATTTGAAATGCAGTTGTGTATAATGTACATCTCAGATATAATAATGTAAAATAAACATGTAAAAAGATATTGGCAAGAAATATACCAAATAATAACTTGAGTTTTACTTAAAGGTGACTGTTTCCTACTTTTCATTTTTAAAACAATGCCAGCGGGTGCATGTACTCACCAGAGAGAGACAGAGAGGAAAAGAGCACTCACCATTGGAGCATGGTTATGCTGCAATCCCTTCTCCATTTTCCCCTCCTGTCAGGATTTTGAGCACAGACACAGGAGTCTAGTATGTTCCATAAGCCTCTGGACCGGGACTGGAATCCTGCAGTCGGTCATGTGGGATTTGGCTTCCTTCACCACCAGGCCATGGGGCTGGCCCTACTACTTGCTTCTTTGTGTAATATCTTTACGATATAACTGTGAAAAATTATAAAGCATTATTAATTACAGATGTCTATTAGCAGTTTGCCTCTGCGCTGGTAAAACAGCAGTTACAATGATATGGGCTGTTCTTTGCCACCAAACCACACGTTTGTTCATTCAACAAATAATTCCTGAGCACCTACGTGTGCCAGGCAATGGTGCTCTATCAACGCGTCACATGACCTGGGGTTTGCCCCTATGCAAGGCCCAGTGAAGAACACAATTTATTACAAACTAGGAAAACATCATGAGAGGGAGAACCTGCTTTAAAAGAGAAATCAGAGGGGCCAGCAGATGGCATAACGGTTACGTCACTGGACTCCCACGTGGTTGACTGCGGTTCATGTCCCAGACCCAGTGGCTTAAAACACACTGGGCACATGTGCATGCATGCCCAAAATCCCAAGAGGAGAATGGAGAAGGGATTGTGACATGGCCATCCCCTGGGTGGTGATTTCTTGCTTTCTGTCTGTCTCTGTCTGTTTCTCCAGCAAATATGCTATATAGCAAAAAAATCTCTTAAAAAAAAAAAAAAAAAGAATCACAGGCCAGCAGACAATGTGGTGGCTAAGGTGCTGGACTTCCACACGGCCAATTTAAGTTCTAGTCCTGGACTGGGCAGCTTGCTTTCTCACTTTCCCTCTCTCTCTCCCTTTCTGGTCAAATTAAAATAATAATAATACATAAAACAAATCAACAACTCTTTCCAAAAAAAAAAAACCCTAAAAAAAATCAATAGAAAAGAATCAGGGGGCCGGCACATGGTGTGGTGGTTAAGTCGGCTGGACTCCCACATGGCTGACCACAGTCTGAGTCTCAAACCTGGCAGCTTGCTTTCTTACTTTCCCTCTCTCTCTGTGTCTCTCTCTGCTCAACTTAAAAAAAATAATAATAATGACAATGAATAAAATAAAATTTTAAAAAAAGAATCAGAGAGGCTTGTGACAAGGTGGTGGTATATGAGTTGAGATTTTAGGATGAGAAGGTCCAGCCAGGAACTCCAAGTACAATTTAAACAGAGACCCTAAGGTGAGACAGAGCTCAGGAAGTCCTGGAGCTAAAAGGGTGGCTTGTGTGATCACAGCATGGTCCAGGAGGAGAAGAGGGGTAGAAATAAGGTGGGACAGGTAAGCAGGGACCAGATCGTGCAAACCATCTTTACTAACTTTGGGATTTTATTCCAAATGCAATGGGAAGCCATTGAAGCGTTAAGAAGAGGAGAAACACGTTTCAGATTGCCTTTTAACAAAATCGCTCTGGCCGTGGAGGAATGAATTCGTGGTTAGACTGATGACTCCAGGGTTTGCTTCCAAGACAGTCCAGAGAACACGCTGGGTCAAAGGAGAGGGAGACAGTGGGATGACACCCAGCTTATTGGTTTGAGCAGTTGTGTATGGGAGAGGTATTTGCAGACATGGAAAAAGTGAGGATGAAATACTTTGGGGGGATAAAATGAAGAATTTAGTTCAGTTTAAATAACACAAAATTGTACCAGATAATATATGCTTATATATTCTTTCTCTCCAGGAAGACTTTTAAGGATGGGGAACGTGTTCTTCACCTTTGAAGTCTCAATACCCCAAACGCCATGTGTTGCAGAGTAGTCCATAAGGGTTTGTTAAATGAACACCACAACTTAAAACATATTTCACTCATTTCAGATAGTAAGGTTTACTGGGTCATGCAAAAATGCATCATGACTTTTCCGATGACCTAATACTGGCTGTAAAATAAATAAAAGCCTTTTAAACAGTTTTCCTAGCCAAGCCAGACAAGGGACAACTGATTGGCCGTTCACTATTCTTGAACTTGAAAAGGAGAATGAAAAAGTACGAGATTCTTATTTTGTAGTTTTGGTTGTTGGTTTAGTTTCCTGTACTTAAACGAAAATGGGTGCTGAAAGCTTTAATGTGTGTGTTTCAATTTTCGGGCCTGCTACTGACCTTCAAGCGAATTTACCTCCCAGTGTTTCCGTTTTGCCATTTGCAAAAGGGAGATAATGGTGGTTGCCTTATCTCACAAGGATGTCATGAAAATAAGTCAGATAAATTGCTTTGCCCTCCTTGGAGAGGGGCGGTCGAAAGTAGGCATTATTAGATATGATGATGAATCCCCACAACTTCAAAGGTATTTTTAAATTGCCCCCCAAGTCTTTGAACATGTTAAGCCTATGAATAGCACTGGGTTAGGTGTTTATGCTTTCTGGCAAGCTTTCACCTCCAGTTAAAGCAGTAAATGGTCTTTGAACAAATGTATTTCTCTGTCTTTGATAACTCTGCTTCCTTGTTTGTACACTTGAAAGATGATTATCATTTGGTATGTGGGGTCAAGTTGAACCCCTTGGTGCCATTACAGTTCAATTGTCGCTTTAATTGAGTTTTTATTCCAAGGTTGAAAAATAAGTCACTTGGTTCACTCTAGTTAGCAAGCTATTTGCATTTTTAAATAAGATTATGAGGTAAATACAACTCTTTTCTGAAAATGACCTGTGCAATGTTTTTCATTTTAGTTATTTTCTTTTAAAAATTGATCATAGGAAAAATTCAGTATTTATATGTCTTTATTGTTTTGTTGTTTTTTGATAGGTTTTCCCTAAATTGCTTTTAATAACAATAATTATGTTTTTAATATTTCTTTTTTTGTAATAATTATTTCATTTATTTAAGAATTGTATTTTATTTATCATTATTGTTATTTTCTATTTGACCATAGCAAGAGACAGAAAGGAAGCAAGAAAACAAGCCACCAGGTCCGGGACTCAAACTGTGGTCAGCTACGTGGGAGTCCAGCGCTCCTAACCACACATCACCTGCCAGCCCATAAGAATTATTTTATTTCAGGACTGGCGGGTGGCATGGTGGTTGAGGGCGCTGGACTCCCACACGGGCAACTGTGGTTTCACTCCCGGACCTGGCAGCTTGCTTTCTCACTTTCCCTCTCTCTCTCATTCTGTCCCTCTCTGGTCAAATTAAAATAAATAAATAAATAAAGTTAAATAAAATAATTCTTTTTATTTTCATAATTATTATTTGTTTAATTTGACCAGAGAGAGAGAAGGAAGTAGGAAAACAAGCTCTCAGGTCCGGGACCCTTTTTTGAATACCAGTTGGCCATGTGGAAGTCCAGCACATTAACCACTATGACACCAGCTGGCCGTAATGTTTTTTAATATCTCTAATATGGGGAGTCATGGTACATGTATAAATATCACTAAAGAAAAACCTACAACCTCAAAATACCTCAAGATAAGATATGCAAAAATCAGTTCATATATAAAAAACTCACAAACCATGAACACTTCTGTCCTCCACATGTCTCTGACTTATACACCCAAAACAAATCAAAACCACTTCCTGCT